CTAAAAGACTGAGTTTTTTCCCGACAAAGATATTGAGGAGAACCAATTCCAGTTATTCATTGAGAAAATAACCAGCAAGAACTTTTATCTGAAAAAGATTTACCCCTAACCCTGCCCCCTTTAACTGACTTTGCCCCTAATCCTCATTATTATTCTCCTTTGCAAAAAGCCGAAAATTGAGTAAAGGTTGAAAATAAAAATGGAATAAAAGGAAAAAGAGATGTTAATGTCATGCCCCAGTGGGCGGGCTCTTGCTGATACTATATCGCCTTTTTGTTGAGAAAAAATGATAGTTATCTAGCTCTGAATGGCCAAGAAGCAAAAGAAATTATAAAAAACTGGTTGCCGGTTGATATCTATATTGGTGGTCAAGAACACGCTAATTTACATTTGCTATATGCTCGCTTCTGGCACAAGCTTCTTTATAAGACGGGTGTAGTTTCACAACCAGAACCATTTCAAAGGTTTATTTGCCAAGGTATGATTTTAGGAACGGATGGGGAAAAGATGTCAAAATCACGAGGTAATATTATTAACCCCAACGAGTTAGTGGAAAAATATGGCGCTGATGCTCTACGACTTTACGAAATATTTTTAGGTCCACCTGAACAGACTACTAAATTTGACCTGAATGGAGTGTGAGCCATGAAAAAATGGTTAGATCGAGTTTATAATTTTTTTGTCCTCTACCGTGAGGCAATCCTCACTGGTATTCGCAACCCCGCAATAGAAAATGCTTATTATGAAATGGTTATGAAATCTAACATTTATTATGAAAAAAATAAACTAAATTTGGTGGTTTCCTCTTTAATGGTTTTTATTAACGAGTGCTATAAAGTAGAAATGAAATGCATGCCCACCGAATGCTTTCTTGGGTTTTTGAAACTATTGAATCCGCTCGCTCCCCATCTCAGTGAGGAAATGTGAAGTTATTTTGGTGAGTTCAAAGACAAAAAAATTTCTATTAGTGAAAGCAGTTGACCGCAAGTAGAAAAATTCTCAATTTCTCCTTCCGCACAATTAAACCTTATAGTGCAAATTAATGGTCAAAAAGAAGCAGTGATTTTAGCAAATAAAGACGCCGACCAGAAGGAGATAGAAGCATTAGCCAAAAACGACCCAAAGATAAGTAAACTATTAGCAGAAAAAAAAATCATTAAAATAATTTTTATAGTTAATAAACTCATTAATTTTGTTATTTAATAAAAACTATGTCGAAATTTCTTAAAAAAACACTGCTCTGAATCATTTCGATAGCACTAATGCTTGGGATAATTATCTTTATTAATGCAAGGATAGATCAGAAAAAGAATGAAAATTCAGAAAATAATCCAAACCAACCAACTCCCAAATCGCCGAATAATGATAACCCTCCGGGCAATCCTGAACCAAAACCACCAACCGACAGCGAAAATTGATGGTTAACGGATGAGGAAATAGAACACGCTTACCAAGAAATCAGAAAAGAAATTACTAATTCACCTGAAATCCAATTAGTTGACCCGAGTGTTGCCCGCATTATCCAAGAAGGTGGCGAAATTAGTGAGGATTTGAAAAAGGCTAAAATAATTTTCTTTCCTATCAATAATTCCGAACAACACGAAACCGGAGACACCGGAAGCCATTGGACTTTATTAGTTTTTGCAGGAGATGAATTAGGTATATTTTTTAATTATAATTCTTTGGAATTTTCGACTACTCCGGAAAATGCTATGAAAGTAGCAGAAAATTTTCACAAGAAAGCAAATTTAACAACTTTAATTAACGTCGAAAATGTGAAAGAAATTCCTCGGCAAACCAATAATGCTGACTGTGGAGTTTATGTCATTGCTTACACCCGAGCCTTAATTAAAAAATACCAAGAAAGTCAACCAGTGGAAGAAGGTTCGTTTAGTATAAGTTTGGACGAAAAAGACTTAATTTTCCCCATTGCCGAAGAAAGACAAAAATTAAAAGCAGTTGGTTTTCCCAAAAAAGGCACCCCCGGAAAAGATTATGACATTGGCA